AGCAGGTCCCACAGGAACGTGTCCAGTTGGGTTTGAATGTCTCCAGAGAAGGAGACTCCACCACCTCTCTGGGCAGCCTCTTCTAGGGCTCTGCCACCCTCACAGCAAAGAAGGTCCTCCTCATGTTTAGGTGGAACTTCCTATGTTCAAGTTTGTGCCTGTTCCCTCTTGTCCTGTCCCTGGGCACCACTGAAAAAAGCCTGGCCCCATCCTCCTGACACCCACCCTTGAAGGATTTATAGGTGTTGATCAGATCCCCCCTCAGCCTTCTCTTCTCCAGACTAAACAGACCCAAGTCCCTCAGCCTTTCCTCATCAGAGAGATGCTCCAGGCCCCTCATCATCTCTGTAGCCCTCTGCTGTCCCCTCTCCAGCAGTTCCCTGTCCTTCTGGAACTGGGGAGCCCAGAAGTGGTCCCAGTGCTCCAGATGGGGCCTCCCCAGGGCAGAGCAGAGGGGCAGGATGACCTCCCTCCACCTGCTGCTCACACTCTTCCTAATGCCCCACAAAAGACCATTGGCCTTCTTGGCCCCAAGGGCCCATTGCTGGCTCATGGGCATCCTGTTGTCCACCAGGACTCCCAGGAAATCTTCCATTTTACTCTTGAGATGTCTTCAGAAGTCTGCCAGTGGAGGCTTGACTTGCTACTAGGAAATGCCATCAGGTTGCTATAAATGCCACTGGCAAACAGCTGCCTGGGCACTGATGGCTGTGATTACTGCCTTCTCCTTGGAGGAGTGTGTGAGGAATGTATGGTGTGTTGAGAATCACCTCTTTGAAAGTTGGACGTGGCCACCAGCAAGTGATGGAAGAATGTTATGAGTTTGTGGATTCTCTGGTTATGCTCTGTTCTGCTGGTTACTTCCCTTATTTTCCAAACAAAGAGGCATTTTTACACTTCTCAGTCTTGCAGTATTATGATCCTTATTCCTTGCTCAGCACTAATGTTGTTTTCATCCCTAGACCACCCCTTCATGAAGGGTAGGGTGCCATAGTATATATGAGTTTTCTTCTCTGTTCGGGTGATGCTCACCCAGTCTTTGTTTCAATGCAACGTGCTTTTATTTTTCCTTTTTTTCTTTAAAGGCTGTGGTCAGGCGTTGCTATTTGTTGCCTCTTTCTTGCTGTTTTCTGCTCACTTTTGCGAATCCTGAATTTAAATTTAATCTCAGATGTATTTTTGTGCTATTGATAAACCAGAGGTTGTGATCCCGTTGCGTGCTCTGCTACGCACATCTGCTTCATATCGATTTTTTGTAGATCCTCTTGCTATACCTTCTCTAACAAGAGCTTTAACTCTGCTTTGGTGGGCTGTCAGCGACACCCCTTTCCATCTTGGAGAGAAAGGGCTTTAGCAGCAGCTGTGTTTTGCTGCCAAAGTGGAAAATGTGGTAGTTACTAAGGTGGGATTTGGGGAAATCAGCTGCCTGCATCCACCGAGTCCGTTTGAATGGTGACTCTTGCCAATCATTACTAACAAGAGCTTTAACTCTGCTTTGGTGGGCTGTCAGCGACACCCCTTTCCATCTTGGAGAGAAAGGGCTTTAGCAGCAGCTGTGTTTTGCTGCCAAAGTGGAAAATGTGGTAGTTACTAACGTGGGGTTTGAGGAAATCAGCTGCCTGCATCCACCGAGGCCGTTTGAATGGTGACTCTTGCCAATCATTAGGCTACAAGAGCATCTTCCCAGTGTTTACTTCTCTGGGGGAGTTTCTGTGGTTAGTTTTAAGGTCTTCAGCCTTTTCATAACTCTCATGATGTTGGCCAAAGATCCAAGTATAACGGCAGGATATCCACAAAGCGAATGGGTCTTCCTCCTTCCTTATGTAAAAATGTGATTAGTTACTGGGATCTTGGAGGTTCCTTATTGCTCTTTGGACTGTTGTGGTTCTTTTCAAGCCACCAGGCCTCTACCAGTGAATTCAGAGCGCTCAGTGGAAACTCATCTGGTGTCATCAGACCCAAACCGAACTTGCTGGCCAGCACTGTATCTTTTCCAAGTTTGATTTCTCCTCTTCAGTGTGATATTTGTTCCTACTTACAGGCTCTTTCCTTGGCCATTGTATGTGTTCTGTGCTCAGAGAATTTCTTGTGTAAAAGGGTTTCCATTTCCAGGTTTCAGGTGCGCTTCTCAGAGCGTGTCCCTTTAGTGTCAACGTAGCAGCAGTTTCTCTCAAGCTACTCTTGTGGTGGAAATTCTCTAAATGTGCTGAGGTTCCACTGTCTGAGGGCATTGATGTGGCTTTGCTTCCTTGGCTTTGGAGACAGAGATCTGCTATGAGATTTCTTCTGCTCAGAGATCACACATGGGAGTGAAGTACGGAGTTTGCCGACGAACTTCATAGAATCATAGAGTTGTCTCGGTTGGAAGGAACCTTTAAGGTCATCTAGTCCAACCATCAACCTGACTCTGATAAAACCCATCACTAACCCATGTCTCTAAGCACTGTGTCAACCTGGCTTTTGAAAACCTCCAGGGATGGGGCCTCAACCCCTCCCCTGGGCAGCCCATTCCAAGGCTTCATAACCCTTTCTGTGTAGACATTTTTCCTGATCTCCAACCTGAACCTCCCCTGGTGCAACTTGAGGCCATTTCCTCTTGTCCCATGGCCTGTTCCTTGGGAGAAGAGACCGACCCCCCCTGGCTACACCCTCCTTTCAGGGAGTTGGAGAGAGCAAGGTCTCCCCTCAGCCTCCTTTTCTCCAGGCTGAACACCCCCAGCTCCCTCAGCCTGTCCTCAGGAGACTTGTTCTCCAGACCCCTCACCAGCTCCGTTGCCCTTCTCTGGACATGCTCCAGCACCTGAATGTCTTTTTTTTTTGTGGTGAGGGGCCCAAACTGGACACAGCACTCGAGGTGGGGCTTTACCAGTGCTCAGTACAGGGAGACCATCACCTCCCAAGTCCTACTCCCCACGCTGTTCCTGACACAGGCCAGGATGCTGGTGGCCTTCTTGGCCACCTGGGCACACTGCTGGCTCATCTTCAGCCCACAGGTGACCAGCACCCCCAGGGCCTTTTCTGCCAGGCAGCTCCAGCCACTCTGCCCCCAGCCTGGAGCGCTGCAGGGGGTTGGTGTGACCCAAGGGCAGGACCCGTCACTTGGTCTTGTTGAACCTCAACACTTCATCATACTTCTCTCCAAAAGAAGCAGTCTTGCTTTGCATGCTTCTGCTAGAAAGGTGGATGAGGTTAAGAAGGGCGATGTCACTATGAACTATGGATATATTGTTTTTACTTTCCACTGGAATAAGGACTTGGAGTCATCACACATTGTTTGTTTTCATTGCGGAGTAATTCAGGTATGTAGCTGTCTTTTTGCAGACACTTTTTGGAGTTGTTAGATCCCATCACAGACCTGGAGCAGCAGGTCTGACTTGATGACCAGGATACACTCTGGCCACAGCTTCCCTAAAAAATGCTGCCTTGGGTAAATTAACCTTTCTACCTGTGAGTGGAACCTAACTAAAGGAAGCCAGTATTGAGTGCTGGGCTAATTTTGCAACAGGATTGCTCAAGTGACCATGGATATCTTAACTTGGCATTTAAACTTAATTATGGGTAATGACTTCTTTGCTCTGACTTGCAGAGGTGTTGTAAAAGTTCTGTGAAATACCTGCTGTTGGATTTTCTGTTTTATAAACGTGCTTATACACCTGTGTGGGGTGACTGAGAAGAGAAGAAGTTTGTCATCAAGGGTTTCAAGTGAGACGTAGCACGGAAGTGTTTGTCCTGGTTTACCCCTTCATGTCGCTAAAATTGTCATTTGTTTCAAACTTGCTGGTCATACATGGTTGTGATGCTTGACAAACGATGTGGTTCCTTTAATTAAGGATTAATTAATGATTCAAATGATAAGGATTAATTCATGATTGTTCTCCTGTTTTGTTTTGTTGCAGCTGGCAAGACGTGGAATGAAGGTGGCCCTAATCAGTAGGTCGAAAGACAAACTGGACCAGGTTGCAAGCGAAATAAGTGAGTTGAAAACTTTTTCCTTGAACTTCACAAGCATGTTTATAAATAAATGCCATGCTAATAATATATACAGCTTTAATTTTGAAGAAGGTTCTCTCTTTGTGCACAGAGCAAATGTTACAGGTATATGCGGTAAAGGTCTCGGAGATTAATTTTACAGGTGTTCGTATGTAACTTCTGAGAACACTAGAGTTTAATTTTGGAAAAAATACTCCTCAAAGTCTTAGTCTTCCAGAAGAACAGTTTACCAGGTCAGACCAAAACACCACCCAGCCCCACGGCAGCTGTTTAAAATCATAATAAGGAGGAAAAACACGGAGCCATTACTTCATCTGAATATTCCCTTGGTTTGAAGCACGTTTCATTTCATGGGCTTCACCCATAAGGGTGGTTTCTTTTTAACTCAGAGATGTTGAAAACATGTTCTTTATGTTACTCGTGGTATTACCAAGTATACAAATTTATTGTGGGTAGCTTCCCCCTCCTCCCAGTGGTTTTTTTTTTTGGTTGGTTTTGTTTTGTTTGGATAAACTACTCGAAGAGCAGATTAGAGAGCTGGAAGCTTTTTTGGGGTGACAAGTGTGTGTAATCATAGGAATGTAGGGTGAGGTAATGTGTTTGAGCACCTCCACGAGGGGTTGTCTCTTCATTTCAGTGTGTAGTCAATGGCTGTCATGCAAAAATAAGGGAGCAACTTCAGTATTGCGACCCCAAATGTAAAACGGGTATTTGTTAGAGGGTCAGTTGGGAGAAAACTTCCTCGAGTCTCATGCTAAAGAATGATTTTTTTTTTTCCAATCAAAAGCATGACCGTAACTCACAAGAATTCCTCACGTAATCTGTGTCTCCTTCACAAAGGCGGATTTCACGGGAGGTTATTAGTTTATGCGGAATATGTCAAGATAAAGGGAGAAATGTAGCCTCGTGTATAGAGGTTTTTGGATCAGCAGGAGTGGGAGTTGGGTGCTGTAAAGCAGGTTTCTCGGCATAATGATGTTGGGTAAAGAAACCTTTAAGATTTTGCTTCTCTCTTACCCTCCCTTGTCTTGCTTAGACTTTCCTAAAATGATTTTTGTACGTAACACGGAGAAACCTTAAGAGCTGCTCTCTTTTCAGAGGTCTTTGCCTTGAGTTTGTTAAAAATCTTAGTAAATTTGTTAGGGGCCGCACTTTACTGTATATAATCTATAATGTAATCTAAAATATAATCTATAAATCAAGCCTCAGCAAACTGTCCTACGCTGAGTTGTAAGGGGCTGCTCCCTGAGTGTAAGGATGACCAAAAAACTCAAGGACTGGCTTAATGGTAATGGTTATACTGGTTTCCTGAGCACAGGGCATACAATGTGACTTTCTCAAGTCACAGGCGACAGGACAAGAGGAAATGGCCTCAAGTTACCCCAGGGGAGGTTCAGGCTGGATATTAGGAAAAAATTTTTCACGGAAAGGGTTCTCAGCCATTGGAATGGGCTGCCCAGGGAGGGGGTTGAGGCACCATCCCTGGAGGTGTTCAAAAGATGGGTTGATGTGGTGCTGGGAGGTCTGGTTTAGTGATGATGCTCCTTGTTTGTTGTGTGGGTGTCTATTTTTGTCAATTAGGTTGACGGTTGGACAAGATGATCTTTAAGGTCCCTTCCAACCTAGAAGATTCTGTGATTCTGTGAATGTAAATACCTCTGATTTTTAGTGTCTGTTGGAAGATGGCTTTTGAAACTGTTTTTTAGACAGAAAAGCCTTCTGTGCACATTTGGGTGGTAGAGAGCATTGCTCCTCAGAGCGAAGATGGCATCAGGTCCTGTCTTCTGCTGGGTTGGAAGCAATTGGGTGGTGGTCGTTAGATCCCTGCATGTGCAGATGTTGCTGCCATGTCTGGAGGTACCTGGGATACTCCAGTCAATACAGTCACGGTGTAAATTAAAGAGTATCGGTGTCAGGGCTCGGGCAGCCTGCGTGAGTACTGCAGCTTCCAGCAAATCACAGAGTCTTCATGGTTGGAAGGGACCTCTGAGATCACCGAGTCCAACCATACACACAAAAAAAGCCCCAAAAAACCACCCAACCCAACAATCTCAGGCACTAGAGCATGCCCTGGAGTGCCACGTCTACATGTTTCTTCAATCCCTCCAGGGATGGTGACTCCACCACCTCCCTGGGCAGGCTGTTCCAGTGCCTGACCACCCTCTCAGGAAAGTCATTCTTCCCAATATCTAATCTCAACGTCCCCTGCCCCAACTTCAGACCATTCCCTCTGCTCCTGTCATTGTCCCCTTGGGAGAAGAGGCCAACCCCCACCTCTCTCCACCCTCCTTTCAGGTAGTTGTAGAGGGCAATGAGGTCTCCCCTCAGACTACTCTTCTCAAAACTCAAAATCCCCAGTTCCCTCAGCCACTTCTTGTGTGACTTGTTCTCCAGACCCCTCACCAGCTTGGTGGCTCTCCTCTGGACACGCTCCAGTGCTTCAATGTCCTTCTTGTGGTGAGGGGCCCAGAACTAAACCCAGCCCTCAAGGTGAGGCCTCACCAGTGCCCAGTCCAGAGGCACCATCACTGTCCTGATCCTGCTGGCCACGCTGGTCCTGATACAGGCCAGGATGCTGTTGGCCTTCTTGGCCACCTGGGCACACTGTTGGCTCATGTTCAGCCAGCCGTCTACCAGCACCCCCATGGTACCTAACTTTAGGTAAATACCTCAAGAAGTTGCAGAAGGTGGTCTTTTTGGTGCTCAGCTGCAATAGCTGGATGGCGGTTTGCCGTGTATGCAGTCACGTTTCTTATTATGCTGTATAAAGTTGTCTCATTAAGTAAAAGTGTAAGTGATAGAAGCATCTTGTTCTGGAACCAAACACTTGGGCGTGAAGAGAGAAGGTTCCTCAAAGTGGTCACTGCCCTTTCCGTGCCGGTCTGGAAATCTTTTCCTGCTCAGGAATGAAGGGTGGTGTTGACAAGACAGATAAATCAACTGCTTGGAGATTTCAGCTCTTACCTGATGGCTGCTGGGGGCGTTTTTTAGGTTTAAAAAATAGGTACGTGTACCCATGTAGAGCAACCTGTAATAGATAATTACTGTTAGGCCTCACCCAAACATTCTTCTGCTGTCTCTCCTAAGCGAGATGACTCACGTTGGGTTTTCAGAACGTTTCTTTTGACAACACTGAGCTACTGAAATGTAGACCTTGTTCACTGTGGCATATGCTGAGGGACTGGGACAGTCTGCGTAATCACGCAAGCCCCAGTTGCCCTTCCAGATCCTGCTTTGGTTTTAGTTTTAGGTGGATAGAATTTTCTGGTATTCAGGCGCATGTGGTCTCTGCAGTCTGGTCAGATGTTGTCGTGTGTAACATGAAGGAATTTATTTAGAGGTAAGGCTGTAGCTACTTGAGTCTTTCCCTTGCAGTCTCCTAAGGCAGCTTTAAAACTTCTTTATGGTGATCATGGAATCATGGAATTGTCAGAGTTGGAAGGGACCTTCTAGAGATCATCCAGTCCAACTCCCCTGCCAAAACAGGGTTGCCCAGAGCACATCACTCAGGAGCATCCAGGTGGGGCTTGAAGATCTCCAGAGAAGGGGACTCCACACCCTCCCTGGGCAGCCTCTGCCAGGGCTCTGCCACCCTCACCCCAAAGAAGTTCTTCCTCAGATTGCAGTGGAACTTCCCATGGTCCAGCTTGTGCCCGGTGCCCCTCGTCCTGTCACTGGGAACCACTGAAAAAGTCCGGCTCCCTCCTCCTTCAACCCACCCTTGAGATTCTTGTCAGCATGAATAAGGTCTCCCCTCAGCCTTCTCTTCTCCAGGCTCAAGAGTCCCAGCTCTCTCAGCCTTTCCTCATCAGGGAGATGCTCCAATCCCTCCATCATCTCTGTTGCCCTACGCTGGACTCTCTCCAGTAGTTCCCTGTCTCTCTGGAACTGGGGAGCCCAGCACTGGACACAGGATTCCAGTTGTGGCCCCACCAGTGCAGAGCAGAGGGGGAGAATGACCTCCCTCCACCTACTGGCCACACTCTTCCCTACGTAGCCCAGGATCCCGTTGGCCTCTTGGCCACAAGGGCCCATTGCTGGCTCATGGAGAGTTTACTGTCCACCAGGACCCCCAGATCCTTCTTCTCAGGAGTGCTTTCCAGCAGGTCCATCCCTAACCTGTATTGGTATCTGGATTCTTCCTCCCCAGGTGCAGGACCCTACACTTGTTGAACTTCATTAGGTTCTTTTCTACCCCGCTCTCCAATCTGTTCAGGTCACACTAATGGCAGCACAGCCCTCTGGAGTGATCCTGCAATTGTTCTTCAAACACACGTGAGCTTACTCATCCGGAGTAATGACCCTTAATTACTTTGAGGAAGAATGGCTGTTTCACTGATTCCAATTCTTTGAATTGTGCATGTTTTCTGTTCCTCCCGTGTCCCCACTGACCCGAGTCCCCCTCGTCGTAGCCGATGGGCAAGCGCTCTCTGTTGCAAATAGCAGAGGGGTTTTGAAGATCAGGTATGTTCATTCTATCCAGAAAGGTTCTTTTTTTCTTGTGCTCTGAGGACACACTTGCATTAGGAGCGATACCTACCTACAAAATGCAAGTTGCGTAACCGCTCTCCTGAGGGAAGTACCCATAGGTCTTTCTGGATGTTAAATGCCAACTGACCTGGATCTGATCTTCTTTTTGTGTGCGTGCACACGTTAAGCTGACTGCACTGATGTTACAAGAAAGCTGGATATTCTGGACTTGGGGCTCAGTTTGAGCAAGGAGAATTTAGCAGATTCATTGCAAATAGTTGGAGACTTGGGAAGACTTTGTCTTCAAACATGGTGTAAAGGTGAATTTGCAGGTGCCGTAGGATTTGCTGAAGAAGGAAATTCTGCTTTGTGTTCCCTAAGAAATAGGGCGTAGGTAACAAACTGACGAAGAAAAGATTTTGGATTTCCTCTTAAGGGATCGTGGACCACCTTTGCATGGAATTACACAGGTCTTATGGAAACGTGTTTGATCCTTTAATCAAGTTTTCATA